TCTTTATTCATTCTTTATGCCAACTTACAAAATATAGGATAGAATAAGTCACTTAGTAAACTACATTGACACAGAATATAACATGAAAAATGTTAGACAAACAACTGTAGTATAAAATATGTGATCACAATACAACCATACAAATAAAATAAAACATAAAGTCATATTTGTTGTTAGACTTACTATACTAGACCTAAGGTACAAAAAATTCTGACACAGAATAGTAGCACTTCTCTGATAAAAATGCTTTTAATTTTTTTTTAAATAGATGCTCACTTTCGATACATTTTATGTCGTCCTGTAAACGGTTAAATAGTTTCGGCCCTATAAATCTTGGTGACACACTTATCATTTTAAATTTAGCGCAAGGCTCATGGATTTAATTTTTTTGTCTTGTATTTATGATAATCACTATTTAGTACAAAATTATTTCGATTTTTAAAAAACGTGTGTACATGTTTCGAATATATATATATATATATATATATATATATATATATATATATATATATATATATATATATATATATATATATATATATATATATATATATATATATATATATATATATAATATACAAGGTAAGGTAAGAATATTATATCCTTTGAAGATATTCTTGCATGTGTGAGTGTTCGGTAGGCCGGCAATACATCGTAAGATACGTTTTTGCACTACAAAAATATTCGATGACATGGTGGAATTTCCCCAGTAACAGATACCATGCCTTAAACGTGAATTGATTTGAGCATAGTATAGGTTGATAAGCTCTTCTTTTGATAAAATCCCCCTAATATTACAAAACAAATATACTATAGATGAAATTTTGGATATTAAAGTTTCACAATGACGCTTTCAGTTTAGGCATTCGTCCAGATGTACCCCTAAGAACTTAATATTGTCCCTCGTATTAGAGATAGTGGTATTGTTTATTTTAATGTTTAAATTATCGCATTTTTTTCGCCTGCCATGAAATTTAATAACTTGTGTTTTCTCGGTATTGAGATATAAGGTATTATGGAAAAACCAATGGTTTAAATTATTTAAAATATCATTACAATTTTGTTCTAAAACACTACTAGATGTATTTGATATTATCACAGAAATGTCGTCAGCATACATTGTAAAATGTGTTGCTGATGACAAAGAATCAATATCGTTAATAAATAAAAGAAAAAGTACAGGGCCCAAAATAGAGCCCTGCGGAACACCCATAGTTACATTTAAATACCCTGAATTAGCACTGCATACTGTGTTTTCGCTATTATGTTTTAAGCTCACATACTGTCTCCGATCTTCCAGGAATGCAGTGATCCAATTTAATGATACACCCCTTATACCATAATCAAATAATTTAGATATTAACAAACTGTGATTGACGCAGTCAAATGGCCTGCTGAGATCGCAAAATATGCCGATAGGACACTCTCCCGCATAAATGAATTCCAATGCTCTATTTAAAAAAGAATGCATCGCCGTGCCGGTCGACATTCCACTAGAAAAACCATAATGACAACCACAAAATATTGACCTCCGTTTTGTCCGTAGTGACTTTTCTAGTTGCAAATATTACCTCAATTTGATTTGAGTGAACCAAATTAATGGATCGTTATAAAAAAATTCCGGCAATTTAAAAGAGGAGACGTCTGATACTTCGATGGACATTGTTCTTGCTTAACAAATATTTTTACTTTTATTTGAACGATTTATTTCCTGTCAATATTTTAATTTTCATCGGAAAGTTAAATTAATGTAATATTTCTGCGGAACATTTCCAGAATAAATATTCGGGCAAAATTATCCGAGTAAAAATAGTTATAATCGAATAAAAATATACGGCTAAATATTTTATTTCATGCGGTTCGGAATGATTGTACAAAAAATTTGAGACCATGTGCGACTATATTAATAGAGTTAACCATTGTTCTTTTTGATAGCAGCTGAACTGAGTAATTCTCTTGCAATGAATATGGGAATCATATCGAATCCACAGTATTTAAATCAAGATGATAAAATTATAAAATGTTGCCCCTTATAGTAAAATAAACTTGCGAAATTTGCTTGAGGTGTGTTTCATCAAATACGCCACAGGCAGCATTTCTATGTCTCATATATAGGATTTCCTTCTTCAATCTAAGAATGCAAAATATACAAATCTCACTACAGTATTGAAAAATCCTCCATTTGGTAAATGGATTTTTAAAACATGTTTAAGTTGAAAGCGCTCAGTATTTATAGTGTACAAAAATATCCAAAATACAACTTTTCATCAGTTATTTTGCATATTGTTCTTTATTTGAAATAATCAGTATGTGTTACTAAAGAAACTACAGTAACTACTAATAAACAAGGTTTTCTTTCCCTTTATTGAAATTAAATTTAATACTCTCTACATTAACATAATCAAAAGGGCTATTTGTTTTACTATTTCGAGAGACAACTGGCCATTCTAATGATCATTTGGTTTATTTATAAATTCGACGGAATTCTTCATTCAAAACGTCGGGTAATTTAAAAGCGTTTTTCAGAATTATTTTCAGGACGTCTCGATCGAATCTTAAATGCCTTTTAAATAAGCAAATTCTAGTACACATCTTGCAACTACCTCTTTGCAGCATTCATACACTTAGGCTGAAAACAGACGAGGAGTTTTGTGCCGAGTCGGCCGCCGATTCTGCAGACGAATCGTCGTTTGCTTCACTCATTATGAATGTATTAAAACAGACGATACGTCGGTGACGAATGTCACCGCCTACGCGACGAGCGTACGGTGATCCCAACCATGTGCCGAAAGCGTTTTTATGACTTTAAGCGGCCCTTCATAAATGTACTAACTCTTGTGCAACACAGACACCGGCGGTTTTTGATCGGTACGTATACTGCATGGTTGCCATTTGACGTGATTTTTAAATTTTTTAATTATTTTAGTGACAGATATGGAAATAAATATCGAACAATTAATACATGAAATTTAATAGTTCATTAAAAGATGTCATAGACATTCTGACGAAATTAAAAAAACTTCTCATCGACTTGTTTGATTTCATTGTATAAAATGTAAAAGTATCCTTTATTTTTTCTTTCACTAATAATTGGGTGTGTCCACATTTTACGATTCTTTTTTCTTTTTAATCTGCAGTATAATACACCTAGAAGTATCACAAACTCTTCATGGGAATCCATTATTTCCAAAGGGGTGTCTGAATGAACTGACAACAACGTACTGAGGAAATTTACTAATGCTTATAAAACGCTCGGTATGTTTTGATCATACGGAAAACTTCGCGGTGTCCAGCCGCCTCGTTTGTTTTGACGTTTCGTTTGTAGAATCGGCGCCGGCGGCCGACTCGGCAAAAAACGCCTCGTCTGTTTTCAGCCTTACTGTCGAAGACGTTTACTAACCAATGGATTAAAGTGACTATATCTTTACGCGAAACATTGCATATCTTCAGGTAACTTAAAAACTGGAAATTTTCAGTATTATTACTTGTAAATAAAAACTTAAGTCAACCAAGGAACTAGGAAGTTCAATTTAGAAGTTGATGGAATCTGTAATAATATTGTTACAAACAATATTATTATAGATGAAAAAAATATACTTTTAAGTACCATTTCAGTGGTATAAACATAACGATATTTATACATACATGGTGTTTCAGTATCGTCACGATAGACTTCGAGGGGTGAGTCTTCTCGTCAAGGAAAGCTAGAATCAAGAATAACATGTTTTCCTGTTTTCCTAAAATGCTTGCTACGCATTCTACGATGCCTTGAAAGTATAACATTAACCAGACTTTTTCAATAATTACCCAGTGATGGTTGGAAGTACCGACTTCAAACTTGGCAGGGAAACTTATTTTCATAGTAGCTATGTGCACGAAAATTTTCATCAGAAATTAACTAGTGGCGTCGGAGTTATAATTAGAGTAAAATAATCCTATGTGTATATGTGCATATCTATGACAAATTCTGGCATGTATTATATTTGTTGTGTTTCTTTCGGATTATGATTTTCAACATTTTTGGACAACAAACTGGTTAGCGGATTTTGATCTGTTAGGTAGTTCTTTGCTGAAAATATCATATCTAATTTCAGCTGTAGACAATAATTTGAAGAAGAATGATATCGGAATGATATCGGACAACAGCCCCAGTGGCACTATTTGAAGCATCGACTACTATGTTTGTTGATAAATTGTATTTTGTATCATATTATCAAGTTTTATCTGATAAATAAATTTTGAATATTTGCGTTAGGTATAAAACTTTCCCATGTAGAACATGGAAACAATATAATGGACTAATTGTTGTGAAAAGGTCGGCTCAACATTAAATGTGAACAGTTCAGTAAATTGACTCAATATTGATTAAACTATATTGGGATGATACTGAAAAAGTACATCGTGCATATACAATATACAATATTAGTTTAATATTGGTCCAATATCGTAGAGCGTTTCCACGATGTTGAACCAATATTAATACAATATTGTACATATGTACCTTTTCAATATCATCCCAAAATAATCCTAGAATCGCTGCTAACGATGCTCACGATATTCCGACGATTTTTTAATTTTTACTCGTGAATGCTGCGATTTACAAAAAAAAACGAAGGGAGACAAAAATTTTAGTTAAAAATGATGCAACCAAATCAATAAAATAAAAATCCGTTCGGTTGCAAGTAACTTGTTTATGTAAGATTACATCACAACTCACCCTACTCCGACGCCATAGTGGTTAGTTTTTGACGAAACTTTTCATGTACATAATTTTCACGGATATGGTGCCCTTTAATGTATTTAGTAGGTATATGATAATTCAACAACCAATATTATTTCAGGATAAAGAATTTAACGTAGAGAACTTTTAAAGTTTTCTTTATCTCAACATTTATTTTCTGGCATTCTATTAAAATTTCCGTTGGAAAATATTTTAAAAATGTATCGCTAGTAAATCGCGAATTTTTTCGTATTACGATATCTATTAGGTATAACACAATGGCTTTATGGTCGAATGGTAAGGACACTTGTCTGTCACCTTGGAGTCCCGGATTCAATCCCCGGTCAAGAAGCTAGGATTTCTTTTAAACAAGAAATTAATTCAAGCATATTCGAACATTGTCTCTAAATGGCTAGCTCTCTCACACACAAAGTACCTTGAAGTACCTTAAGGGATACAGGCGGTTGTATGACCTGTGGTGCTTAATTATTTATTTAATGGCAAGCAATGAAGTAATCTCAACTCAACTCATATTGTCCTGAAGCACTTATAGCTCTCTGTAGATACAAAAAAACTTGCATTTACAAGATGACGTACTAATAACTAATAGGTTGATTTTTCATAAAATAAGTGTATATCTTTCTATAACTGCATGGTAGTCGAGTGGGTAAAGCGCTTATAGCAATTTACTCGGTACCGAATATCGATGGTTCGAATCCATCTCAAAGCAAACCACATCTAAGGCATCTAAGATGTGGTTCGGACTCCACAATAAGTTGTAGGGCCTCGTCTCTCTTTTCTCAACACAAAATCCTAGGATTTTCTGGGAGTTACATCGGCGACTTGAGAGACAGCTTAGAAAACATATTTAAGAAATTAGTTTACTATCAAGTAAATATTTCCAATGCCTAACTTATACTTACTTCGGAGATGAATTATTGTAATTTTTCTCAAATGTAAACATATATCAATTTAATGTAAAACCACAAATAATAAAATGTTCGTGTTGGTAAATTGCATGGTAGATTCTCTATTGATTAATTCAGTAGCCGTATGCATCCGTGGATCCTCACATGCATTATGTAACCAGGACGGGCTAGCCCCGTAATTATTGTGCTAATTTGCAATTACAATCGATTTTCGAACATTATATTCTAGTTTTTATTGAGTTATTTCTGTAGCAAGACTTCCGTTGCACTTTTCGTCGCTAGTTCATGATCTTTAAAGTTAACGGATAATCTCTAACAAGAATATTTGCAGTATTCCCCTTCAATAAAAAGTTAGTAGAAAAAACTGAATTAGCCATATAATAAGTAATCATTTTTTATATTAAAGAAGTTTTTCTAACAATAAATAAATTTTAAATTAATTATAAAAATCAGGTGTTCTCTAGACAAAATTCAAACAAACGAAAAGTCGGATATTTACGAAATCAGCTGTAAGGACTGTAATGAAAAGTATGTTGGACAAACTAGACGATCAATTTAAACTAGATTCAAAGAGCATATGGCCCACCTCAGATATGGTAGAACAGATAAGTCTAGTGTTGCCCAACATGCGTTTGAGAAAAACCATAAAATAGATATTAGCAATTTAAGATTAATTAGGAATGTAACTAATACTAGAGAGCTGAAAGCATTTGAAAGCTTGGAAATCACAAAGTGTAAAAATACTATAAATAGTGACAAAGGACCAATTCCAGGTAGTCCGCTTTATTGGTTAGTGGGTCACGGTTCGGTGAACCGTGACAATAGTTTAGGTATAAATAGGGCACATTGTTAGCATAAGGTTAGTTTTAATCATCCGCAGATGATGCGAACTTGATTGGCGAAACGCGCGTCGAGTGCAGCATTTAGTGTTTTGGTGTTTCGTGGAAAACTACGTCAGTGTTATCTTCACACCAAAGGTTCCAACCCATTCCTGTTCTTTCTTAGATAATAAAGTTTCTACAACAATTTTTAATTTTCTGTTAAAATGAATAAAATTGCATTCTAGTGACGATAATATTTATTATTAAAAAATAATAATGTAAGGCCAATCATACTTTGGGATTAATAGTAATCTTAAATTGTGATTTTAAACACATTTTCTTAGTGCAATATATATTTCAAAACTTATTTTCAAGTCGTACTTGAGTAACATTTTGGTAATAGATAATTTACCTTTCAAAATATTTCAGTGTAAATATTAGTGGAAATCAGTTTTCAGATACTTGAATGTCAAAATTTATGTGAATCTGATGTATTAAAGAAAATCCAAATGACTTGAGTTGTAATTGAATTAATGTCGAATGGGGTCGATTTGAGGTGCTTCGATTCGAGGCAATTCGTGTAGATCCAAAATTGAATGCACTGGAGGCAATTCGGAATATTAGCAAATCGAGTCAACTTAGTGTTAAATAAACTCGGTTTCATTTAGGAAAGGAGAATGAAAGATTAATAAAGTTTAAGAGTAATTTTAATTTTACAGGTGATTGGATCGATTTACGTAGCAGGTGGATAAAAATACATGATTATTAATCAGCTCATTGTTATCCGAGTAAATCTGTCTATTGGAGTATTAGAAACAATTTGTTTCCTTTTCAGATTATAAGTAAACTTGTCTGTTAAACAGAACTAAAATAACTAATTGATATAGACAAATTTAATTAAACAATTTCAGAATGTTCTTAAATCAAATTTGTTCAACAATTTAAGTACAAAATTGGAAAGTATGGTTCAAATTTAAAACTTTATAGGTTCTGAATTATTCAACTTATTTTAAGTCCATTTCCAGTTTCTAGAACCTTGTTTTGCCACACTTCAGAGGCCGCTAATTTGTTAAAAAATAAATGAACTTTTATTAATAAACGTATGTCTTAAAACGCAAAATAAGTGGATGGTAAATATCAATTTTTCAATTAAATATATGTCCGACATGGGGTTGACTAGAAAAATTAAATTTTCACATTATGGGCTCGATATAGGAACATAAAACTAGAAATTTCATATTGAACAGCTCGCTATATTGGGGTAGTTTTGAGGAGTGAGGGTAGTTTTTTACCTTACTTTACAATTTTTTGGCGGCACTTTCGAAGCAAAACTTTAAATAAAATAATTTCCATACAATGACTCAGAAAAAAAGTATCTTTCAAAATTGCTGTGGCACCAGCTGTTATTGAATAATTTGCGTTGTATGGTAATATGGTTTTTCATATGAAATACGCCAAAATTAATTTTATTAATTTTTAAGTCACCTATGTATTAACAAGATTGATATTTTGGGATTGTAGCATCATGTAATTTACATTGCATATATGTCATTTCTGTGTCATAATTAATTTATTTAAACAAAATAATAATAATGGATCATCTCCTTTCAAGGGGTTGTAGCTCCTTGCTTCATTTCATTTTTTATTTCCTTCATTTTTTACATATATAAAATATACACAACAAATGCAGAATGCGTCAGACATTAAAATCTATTATATAGTAGATTTTAATGTCTGACTTTTATATAAAAATACAAGTAACACTGACAGGTCTTAACAAACAAAATAAAGCAACAATTAAACAAATAACAGAATAAAATTCTGGTGTAACAAACTTTATCTACTAATAAGGCTTTAAATTTGGTTCTAAAAATAATAGCACTGGCCGAAGATTTAAATGCATTTGTTAAGTGATTAAAAAACTTACAGCCATTGTAAACAAAGTGTTTTTAAACCATTGTCGTCTCAAAGAAATTAGATTGTATTTGTTCTTTATGTCGTATTTAATATCAATGACTTGGTTCACTGGTTGGGAACATCGACCTGTTTTAACATGTGTACATATTTCTAATATGTAAGTACTTGTTGAAGTTAAAATCTTAATGCTCCTCAATGCATTTCTGCAAATTTCGCTATCTAACAATTAATTATGTGCACTGTATATTTTTGTATTAAGAAAACTCTTTTAACTTGGGAGCTATTTCTACAATCGATTATGCCGTATTTTAAATATGAATGGAAGCTAAAGAGTAAGTAGAACTTCAGCACTACAATGATTAGACATACAATTTAGTCCAAAGCAACTGCTCCTTAATTTCTCACAAAGAATTTTATATGATCGCTCCATTGTAAATTCATGTCTAATGTAATGCCCAACATTTTAATGGATTCTTTAGGGTTTATTATATGTCCATTAATGAAAGTCCACTAATTTTTAATATACCTAATATAAGGAAGTATAGTAATCGTGATTTTTTTCGACCTCGATATTTTGATTGATTTATACCTTTTGAACCCTCCTGAATACATTTTGACTATTTTCCGAATAATGTCTGTCGGTGTGTGTGGGCGTGCGTGCGTGCGTGTGTAGGTGTGTGTGTGTGTGTGCGCGCGTATGCGTTCGCTTGTGCGTGCGTGTGTGCGTGCGCGTGTGTGTGTGTGTGTGAATCCGCAATAACTCAAAAAATACTAATGGGAGACCTCCCAAATTTGGCAGTTAAGATTGTCAACAAAGTTTTAGGCGACACATTAAATTTGGTGAATGTAGTACCACCAGAAGAGACACAATGAATAAAAGAAGGAAGAAAGGTACAATTTCGGGAAAAATTTTTTTATGCATTTCTGGACAAATCTCGACGAATTATAATGAAAAAACATGACTTTATCGAAAAAGTCTCTCTGCATGTCTGTAGTATCGCTATAACAGCCACAGTTTTTGAGATAAAGCTTTCAAATTTGATACACATGGTCTAAAAGCCAAAGACAATGATAAATTCGGTGATGACCAAAGTTGGCCAGCTGAAAGGAGATACACGGAACCAAACATTCTTGTGTTTGACTACAAAAAAAATATATTGTTGATGAAAGATTCTAAATCACGTCAACTATATCAAGCCAATGAAATATATTTACTAAGTACTTAAATAATGATGTTAACTAATATTTATTACACATTTCATCTAATAAAATGGGGTTAGGATAAATTTAGCAGTTTGATATTTGAAATGGCTAATTCAGTTACAAAAATGTCAATGTCAATAACAATAAATTATTAATATATGACATGAATTATTATTGACAGTATAGAATGACGCTGATAATTAATTATTTAAAAATTTTAATGAAACATTTCAAGGTATTCTATTAAAATTTAATTGAGGTAAGTGAAGAATTAAATAGAATGATTTTTTTTATCAGGATGATATACAGGGTGGGGCAATAGTGCGTCGGACCTCGATATCTCAAATTCTATGATAGCTAGAAATTTTTTAAGAAATTGCAAGTACACTAGATTAAAAAATCTATAACTGGAAATTATTTTCGAACATACAGGGCTAGCCAAGACGAAATTACAGGACCAAGTGCCTTTTTTTTAAATGGAATAC